GCCCCCACCCCCTCCCAGGACACAGGATACTTCCATTTGGGAATCTGCTTCATATTCCACAACTGAAAGTGGCTACATATTCACAAGATTCCCGGCAAACAGGACAAAATACCAGAAAATGACATTCCAGCACAAGCAAAGATTGTTCTTAAATGTTTAGGGTTTACAAAGTGAAATGATTTTCAGGGACCAGGAACTACCCTCAGTTCACCCTTCTGTGATCAAAGCATCTGAGTCTGAAAGATAGATTTTTATTTTGTTCTGTTTGGTTTGATTTCCCAATGGAGAATATCCTTGGTTAAAAAAAGAAAAAAGAGGTCTTAGTTTAAGAGACTTTGACTTGGCCTTGGCCGTCATTCAGCCTTGGGACACGCCGGATATTCAGAACTGTAGCTGTTTCTGGCCAGCTCTTGCTTGTCTGGTTTTGGCTCCTTAACCTTTAGGGCAAAGGTTATTTTGAAACATGAACTAGAAACAAAAATATCAATACTCTGCTGTAGTTCGTGGTTTCAGAGCTGCTGACATGGAGAAGTGAGCAGTATTTTTAGAACTGGAAACCATTAGAGGTGATACTCTGAGATGCAGCAGCTGGTGGTTCTGGTCCTCACAGCCACATTGGGTTTTGTTTCTTGTTTATTTTTGTTTTTTTGAGCACTTTGGTCCATTTTCACATGTGTGCTGTGCTTGGGCTGGGATGGTTAGCCAGTCTGACGATGGGTCCGTCTACTCCAGGGCCTTCCTTGGGCTCACAGAGGCCAAACTGGAGGGGCAGGGCTAAGGACCAGGAAAGGAACGGAAGGCTCCTGCTCTTCTCAGGGTAGGGTTTGCTCCAGAAAGATTAAGCAGATGTTTAATCAGCATCCCCTACATGTAGGGTCACTGCCGGGGCGGGGGGAGGGCTAAGAACATGGTTTTCTCTGAGTAATGGTGACACGCTGAGGATGTGGACTCTAGTTCCCTAAACTTGAGCACAGGCCATAGCAAAAGGCAACAAGAAATGGGTGCTGGGGATTAGCAGAATTCTCACAACCAAGACATGTTTCAGCCTGCTGTGGGGAGAGAGAGGGGCCGAGAGGGAGCTCCCAGAGGGCAGGACCATGGGCTGAGCTTGGTGAGCCTTTTGTGGGGAGAGAGAGCCTGGAGAGGGAGCTCCCAGAGGGCAGGACCAAGGGCTGAGCCTGGAGGTTTACAGGGCCCCCAAAGGTGGAGTCCACGCTCTGGGCAGGGAGAGCCCTCGGGGTGTGCCTGGGTCTGAATAGGCTCCCTCGGGCCTCTGCGTTGAGATTATGGGATAGAGAGGAGAAGGCAGGCTGGAGTCCAGGAGACGTCTCAGAGGCACTCAGAGAAACCCACCATGGTCACCCAGACGGGAGAGCAGCAGCTCTGTGGCCGGCAGCGGAGTGGTGAGAGGTGGCCATGGCCATGTTCTTTAGACATCCTGGCCTAGTGGATGCTCAGTGTGAGCATGAGGGGATGCTCTGTGTGGATGCCACGTGGGGCTCTAGTTTGAGTAACTAGGTGTGTTTTCAGAGCCTGAGAGGCAACGGCACAGCCGGAGAAGGTACACTTAAGAGAAGAGATTCCAAGTTCGGTGTGGAG